AGGATTTTCATCGCCGCAAATTAAGCGAGTAATAAAAGCAAAACCCAACTCACATTTAGACTTTGATCGACCTTCATCCTCCTGAAACAACAGGAAAAGGGCAGCACAATCAGGTGGAAAGCAGAAATTGGAACATATATACCACTTTCAATTACCGGGGGGAAAATATACCTGCTTTTCCCGCTCGCGAGCTCGTTCTAAGTACTCTTCTCGATCGAACTTCTTCCTGAACGTGTTGTCAACTCCAGCAGGCTGCGGTTCAAAACGAAGACATTGAGAAGCAAAGCAATGCTACAACAAAAGATAAAGGAATGAACTTTTCCGGGAAAATTGAAAACTCACAGCAGCCATTGTAGTGAAAGATTGCGAGCTGGGAACTCAGTGCGGGAAAGAACTCAGATGACCGAATTCGATTCCGAAACCGGGAACTAGATTTCTAAACCCTAGAAAGAGACAGATTTTCCACCTGGTTCTCGGAATCCGAGCGAGAAAAAGGCAGAGAAAAAAGAAAATTCATAAGTTAATAAATATGTAAAGTCTGTTTAAAAAGACAATAACTTGGGTGTTTGGTCTAGTGGTATGATTCTCGCTTCGGGTGCGAGAGGTCGTGAGTTCGATTCTCGCAACACCCCTTATATTTTATAACACTTTTACGGTTTTCCCTATTTCTGCAAAATACTTTCTATTTAGTGCCTAAATATTTCATTTGTTTATCCATCCCTCATGTTGTTCTGTAAAAGCTAAGTGCAAGCTTCAAGAGAACCTTTGCGGGTTTTCTTCATTTCTACAAAATACTTTCTATTTAGTGCCTAAACATTTCATTTGTTTCAAATCCATCCCACATGTTGTTCTTCCCCATTTCTACAAAATACTTTCTATTTTATGTCTAAACATTTCATTTGTTTATCCATCCCTCATGTTGTTCTGTAAAAGCTAAGTGCAAGCTTCAAGAGAACCTTTACGGGTTTTCCCCATTTCTACAAAATACTTTCTATTTAGTGCCTAAACATTTCATTTGTTTCAAATCCATCCCTCATGTTGTTCTGTAAAAAGCTAAGTGAAAACTTCAAGAGAACCAAATCGGTTGCTGATGGCCAAGGTTTCATATAAACTGCTCGGTTTTCCATTAAAAAGCTTTTGATTTCTTCTTGCAAGGGTTCTTGCACCATATTCGGCGATCCCGGATACCCATCAATCAAATAGTTCCCAAAAGAATCCTTAGACCTTAAAATCCATGCATCAGGAACGGAGTCAGGATTCACGATTAAAAGGGGCATAATTTTTTTTAACCGTTTGGAACAATACTTAGAAAAACTATATAATTGTCAATATGCTCTTTGACACTAAAGCTACTTAATGTAGCGTCCAAATTAGAAAAAAACTTCATCAAAAACCTTGTTGAATTTAATTAATTTTACCATATAGCATATTATTACCACTTTCACAATTAAATTGTTTTAGTTTAATAGCACAAGAAATTATGTAAATTGAATTAGAAATGGCAATGGGACAGGTTTGGACGGATATGCCGATATCCATACTCGTTTTGTGGTAGGTCAGATAATTTATCATAAAGTTCGGGTAGGACAGATCGATCCTTACAATTATGTAATCTAAATGAAAAACAATTGAAGTATTTCTTGTTTAATAGCACAAAAACTTTGTAAATTGAATGGGTTTATGCACATGTAAATTGAATAGTTGTATGCACATGATTCAGTTTAATAACACGTAGTTGTAGTGTTCCAAATCAGCTAAAAACTTGTGCAAAGGTGGAGGATCGAACCCTGGAACAGCTAAAAAACTTGTGCAAAGATAGAGGATCGAACCCATCTACTTCTTGTGGGAATTGATCTAACAAATAAGTCTCATAACCACTACACCGCAACATTACATTTAGATATTTAGCTACTTACACTTTATATATAGGGATGTTCTAGAATTCATGGCCCCCCTCCCTTTAAGCTAGCTCCATCCCTGACTAAGCAAAAAAAAAAAAATCATTTTTGGTTGATACTTTTGATGTGTTGTACCGCATTTGAAATGGCACAGCGAATCCCAAATGGATTCTGATGAGGAAGTGCAAGTATTATGGTGACCGTACTGCAGAAGCCCTAGCTGAGTTTGTCGATTACTAGTTTTGACCACCAAGACGACCTCTTTCAATTCGCCGTGAAGCCTAATGAGTTTGACTCTTGTATGTGTTACCAATCCCGCCGTGGTAGATCTCAACAGTACTCGGAAATCATTCCCAATTCGAAAGATCCAACACAAATTCAACAATCGAAACCCAATATCCCTTCCCATCCACCTAGAGCCATCGATGCCATCGTTCCCGGAAGAACTACTTCCAACCCAGAAAACCCCAAATCTTATCCCAAACCTTCCTAACTGTTGTCTCCCATTTCTGCAAACAAAAACCCCTAAACCTATATCTTCTCCCCTAATTAATTTAAAACTCACCGCCGCAGAAGCTTAGTCCATCATCTCCAGTTTCCATCGTCTCTAGACCCCCGTAGGAAGACATTGTGGAGTAGTGTTGATCTCTCTGTCCTCTCAAGCAACGACGACCAAATGGACGACGAAACGGACGTCGACGGAGGGTTCGAGGAGGAAGAGGGGGGCTTGGGCGAGCAGTGACGCTTAAGGTACAACTGGAAAAAGTAGAAGAGAGCGCAAGGAATGAGGGAACCCAGGATGAGCCCTCCCCTGCTCTGGACGACACCATGTAGAGGGATGATGAGTCTCATTCCTTTCGGCGGCTGCGCTGAGCTTTGGCGACAGTGATTGAGGATGGAGACTCGATTAGGGGAATTCCGAAGAAGAGGGCAATTGCTTCAACTGAGGTACAGAGGAACCCTGGCCTTTGTGATTTCATTTGGCAATCAATTGGAGGGAAGTAGAGGGAGAGGGAGGGGTAGAACGATATGGAAGGAAAGGAAAAGGGGAGGGGAGGCGATGATGGCGGAATCACAAGAATCATTGGTACCAGGTAAGAGAAACTTTGGTAGGGTTTTGGAAGGGTTGATCCTCAGTCTCATTTGAGGTCACCCTGTTTCATTATATAGCTCAGCGGGAAACAAAGACAAAATGGATTACAGAGCACTGCCACTTGGCTGCTTTCCATTTGTCTATTTTAAAGTTTAAACAGTAATTAAAACGGCTAACTGCCTCTTACACACAACTAACATAAAACGACGTAGCAACAATAAACTACTCCTGAAACTCCAAAGACAGCTGAAAACTTTTCTCCTTCCTTACACGTTTCGACCTGCTTCTTCTCCTTTGTTCCTTTTCTTCTTCAGTCCTTCTGCAATCTGGATTTCCATTCTGTCAGCCTCCCTCAAGTTGTGGCAGTCACTCTGACTCCCAACTTGACCAGTAAGTTCTGCATTCGTGCTCTATCCAATCCCTTTGTAAACAGGTCCGCCAATTGGTTGAATGTACTCACATGATGAAGCTTGATCAATCCAGTCTTGATACGTTCTCTGGTTACATGCATATCAATTTCTATATGCTTTGTCCTCTCATGGAACACTGGATTCTCTGCTATATGTATTGCAGACCTGTTATCACAATAGATTGAAATAGGTAAAGGCACTTTCACACTTAACTCAGCTAGTAATCCCTTCAACCACTCGACTTCACAAACCAGAAGAGCTAAAGCCCTGTACTCAGCCTCTGATGAAGATCTGGACACTGTGGTCTGCTTTTTGCTTTTCCAAGTTAGCAAAGAACTTCCTAGAAAAGTGCAGTACCCTGTTGTTGATCTCCTTGTGTCTGGACAACTGGCCCAATCTGAGTCTGTGAATCCCACCAGTTTCAGGTCTGCATTACTGCTGAAATGTATGCCTTGTCCAGGACTGTTCTTCAAGTATCTCAACACCCTGTAGGCTGCTTGTAAATGGTCACTGCAAGGTTGCTTTTGAAACTGACATAATTGTTGAACAATGTATGTCAGGTCAGGTCTGGTAATTGTTACATAATGTAACCTACCAATCAATCTTCTATACACCTCTCCATCCTCCAGTGGTGTTCCTTGATTAGCAGCAAGCTTCACTTTAGGATCTGATGGTGTGATGCACCCTTTGGCTTCCAAATATCCAGTGTCTTTCAGCAATTCTAGAGCATACTTCCTTTGACATACACTGATCCCTTCTGCAGTCCTGTTCACTTCCATACCCAGGAAGTATTGTAGAGGTCCCAACAGCTTGATCTTGAACTCCTTGCTCAAAGCCTTTTTTATCTGTTCTATGTCATTTGGTGCATCCCCACCTATGATTATATCATCTACATAAACCAATAACACCACAATTCTGCCATGTACCCATTTGGTGAAGAGAGAGTAATCTGAAGCTGATTGGGAAAAACCATTTTTCAGCAAAAACCCTGTTAGCCTTGCAAACCACTGTCTTGAGGCTTGCTTAAGACCATACAGTGATTTCTTAAGCCTGCAAGCCATTCCCTTTGGATCAACTTCCTGTAAGTCAAGTCCTAGAGGTATTTTCATATACACCTCTTCTTCCAAATCTCCATGGAGAAATGCATTTGAAACATCTAGCTGCTCTCGTGTCCAGTTCTTGACTGCTGCAACTGCCAAGAGTGCTTTGACTGAGTTGATTTTAGCTACTGGTGAAAAGGTGTCTAGGAAATCAATTCCATAGACTTGAATATAATTATTTTTATTTTCCACCTTACTATTATAAAAATAAAATAAAATTTTTTTATTTTTTATTTTCCTTCTTTTCTTTGCAAACCCAAAGATTACCATAAGCAAGGACCAAGATCTGGCCTCCTCCACGAGCAAAAAAGACCATTAATTTCTTTTTTTTTTATAATGGTGGAAAAAAAAGACCATTAATTTCAATCCAAGAAAAAGACAAAGTCGTATGATTGGGTGGATTACTTAGTTAATTACCGGGATGTGGGAGTCTCTGGCGCTACGCTTGGCGTCTGTGGCAGAGAAGACGGTGTAGACAAGGACGAAGGTGTCGATGATTTCAGCACCGAGGCCGTCTCCCTTTGGTGTACCCACCAGCGACGGAGTTAGCAGTAGCACCGCCGCCAAGAAGCTGAAACGACTCCTTCCCTTCGAACCCTTTCACAACTCAGGCGCCGCAGATCGCTCAGAGGCACTGCATCACCATGTAGAACACCGCCCTGGCCAGCGACAACTTCCTCGCCAGAAAAAGCCCGAACGTCACCGCCGGGTTAATGTGGCCACCTATTGTCTCACATTAAAACAAAAATCTTGTCAGTCCAATTGAATTCCTTAAACTTATTTTTAAGCTCAATTTGAAATTGGATTTTGGGGGACCTGAGATTCCGGCGGAGCAGTAAATGAGGGCAAAGATCATCCCTTTGAAGGCCCAATCGATCCCCTGGATGCCTACGGTGGAGCATTTGGAAGGGCTCTTGACGACGTCCATGACGATGAGGACACTGATGTAGAGGAAGAGGAAAGTGGCGATGAACTCGGCGATTCCAACCTTGTAGAAGGACCAGAAGGTGAGCTCCCCTGGCTCGAACAGAGGTAGGGGTGTTCAAATGGTTACCATGGTTATAACCAATCCAAATAAGGCTAAATTCCATTAACCATGGAATACAATATCATAACCAAACCAAATAAGGCTAAATTTCATTAACCATGGAATACAATATCATAACCAAACCGTCCAAACTAATACAACAACCAAATTAACCAAACTAAAGTTTAATCGGTTTGGTTAATTGGTTAACCAGATTAACCAATATAAAATCACATTATCATTAACGATGAACATTTTCCGGTTAATGCAACAATTCGCAATTTATATAATGAATAAAACATAACAATCAACACGTAGTTATAGTTGACCCTTAACAAAAATACATGCAAATAAGACAATTATCTTACGATTAGTACAGAAGTATTCACCTAACAAAAATTTATGACAATGGTATGGGTTAATGAATTGTTGTGTTTGTGTAAATTGACTTAGTCTCTTAGCAATTATCATAGGCTAGAAATGACCTTCCTTTCAAGTTTTCATCCATTATAATGTATGAAATTTATCTAAATTAGGCGTCCATATGTTGTGGTCTACACTTTACATATACTAATATACACTATATGAGCAATATTGAGTTTTATGTTTTATGAGTCTAAAAAGGATGAACGTTAACTCTTGAGTGATTATGCAAAGTATTAAGTATGTGTATATAATATATGTTAGATATATTACTAATTACTTAACTGGTTAATTTGGTTTGACTGGTTAGGAGTGTCTGAAACCAAACCAAACCACCTTAACCAAACAAACTAAAAACTTTAACCAAACCAAACCAATTATCCAAATTAACCAAAACAAATTATCCAAATAGTACCGGTTAAAATGGTTACCACGGTAACCAAACCGTTTGAACACCCCTAGTCATGTGACCATGTCATGAACAAAATATATTATTAATGTTTTCCAAACACTTATTATTGGGATTATACAATTTCTTAGCACCCTTAACTACATTATGTTATGTGTACTGTATATATGTATGGCTAAATTGCAAGTTTGGTCACTTGAATTACTAGTAAAATTCACGTTAGCCACTAGAATTACTTTATTCCATTCGTAGTCATTTAAATTAGTTCAACAGTTCGATTTTGGTCACTCTCCGTTAGTCTCCGTTAACTTTGACTGATGTGGCGGTCAACTCTCACTGTTGACCGTTAAATGAGTGACGTGGCAATTAAAACAATAAAAATTAATTTTTAAAAAATTCTAACTCATTATCACAAAAAATAAAAGTGATTGCAATGAAAATAAAAAAATTGAAAAAACAAAATCTATTCCCCCGACCGGCTCCATAGTCTCGCCGGCGGCGGGACATTGCCGAAGCAGCAAATCCTCCTAGATCTTGCTCGACTGCACCCGCCGCACCTGCTTGATGACCCTTCAAATCAAAGTTCTTCATCAAACTTACTCATTATATATTTATATTCTATTTGAATAAAGTGTTTAATGTCAAAGGATTATCAAATTAGATAATATGAGTCATGAACAAATTTTCATGATAGTTTCATTCTAGTGTAGTTCTTATCTGCCAATTCGATCACTCATACAATGATTATGTTAATTGAGTAATTATATATTTATTCATAGCAACGTAACACTAATACAATACATCTTCTTCTGAGTTCTGTGTATATTGTATATTCTTTACCACTTTGGTGCATGAAGATTGAATTTTGTAGCTTCTTCTAGTCTCCTCCAGATTATAAAAGTCAACGGGGGAAATGAGTTTTTTTTTTTTTTTTTTTTTTTTTTTTTTTTTTGATGGGATGGGGGAAATGAGTTAAATGAAGGGAAGTTTGTAGCCTGTAGGTAGGAATTTCGAATGGGCCTTGGGAGTTTACTTTTGGATGACAGACCGGCCCAATTAGTTGTTGGGTATAGTTATTGTTCCCCGCAGCCCATTGGAAACAGTGTCTGGTCGGGTGGATTTAAACAGTTCCCATCTCAGTGTTTCAAAATTCAAATCGTAGCGGGTGGTTCGACGAGGATTCATGATTGTCAACCGGTTTAGCCTCTTGGTCCGGTCGAATAAGTGGATTGAGATTTGGGAATTCATGGTTTGATTTCTTTAGTTTAATTTGGTTGGATATAGAAAAAAATTCATTATATTGTTCATATTTTTATAAATTATATTAATATCAACTAACACATGAGTAATAACATATAACATTACACCAAAATAATAGATCGTAGTTGGATATTAAATATAATAAAAGTTCACACACTTATAAAATATCAATATTAGACTTTTCAATTTGGAATTTCAAAAATACAATTAGGCGGGAAAAAAATCGGAAAATGTATATTTTGCATTGTAAAAATAACCTCCAACTTGATAACCTTGTTGTAGTGGGCCGGAAACCAAAGCGCCTCTACCCCTATTTATGGGTGTACATGGGTCGGGTGGTTCGGGTTTAGCCATTTTAATCACCCGACCCATGCACTACGGTTTGGGAAATATTAAACCCAAATCCACCCATAAAAATTAAAACCCTACGGTTTGTTTCTAATTGGGTTGGGTCGGGTTGACGATACTTTTAAGTAAAAACCCAACCCAACACAAAATATGTAATTATTCTACACCATAAAAATATTTTATAACTTATTAAAATTTCAAACGAATAAACCGAGGTGAAAGGTATCAAAGTTCACAAATGTTGTTTAAATTTTATTAAAATGTGATTTACGTCAACATATATCTAGTTTTTTTTCACGATATTTGTTGAAATAGGATAAAAATGTTATAAACGAACGCATCCATAATATCTAATTCTATTAAAATCGTACACAAGAAAAATGATTACGTGAATCATAGCTATATTAAATCTATGTCTAAACTTTAACCCGAAAAATGCATTAGATTAGTGAGACCATGAGAGAAAAATATGGCGAAATATCTTAATTTTCTAATAAGTATGGTTATATACGACATAAATATTTTTTGGATACGAACTCATATCAATAGTTGGAACACGGGTTGGGTTGGGTTCTACGGGTTGTGTAATCCAAAACCCAAACCCAACCCAAAAGAGGCGGGTTGTAGAAAAGAAAACCCTCACTCAACCCAAAACCTTAGTTTTAGCGACAAATACGGGTGGGTTGGGTCGGGTTGGATGGATGGGTCGGTTTGCGGGTGTGTTTGTTCACCCCTACCTCTATTCAAACTCTATCTCTAAGCATCTGACTACTGGGCAAAGGGCAATCAACCCTCAATCACCACGATCTCCATTCTTACAGATAAGTCACGTTCCATGCTTCCGGCTCTATTTTCAGAACCGGATCGGAGGCTGAATTGAAAAAGTTAGTGGTTTATGGTTCAGTGGTTAACCGTTACAAAATCGTTGGTTAACCATTATAGAACCGTTCATGATATATAACATATAAGACTGTGTATTACATTAATTTAAGAATAAAGTTATCACTTACCATAAACAATTTCAATTTTATATCATCACACAAATATCTAATAAATCATTCAAACTGTCTCACAAAAAAAATCATAATTTTTGCAATTCAAATTAAAAATTACAATGTCAGTCGGTAGTGGACCACGGAAAGTCGACAACAAAGTTAGAAAATGGGAAGAGAAAGTAGTTATAAAATTAATAATGACGGTTTGACTGTCTTAGTTTAGGTTAAAGTATTTTCTAAAAAAATATTATGGTTAAAATAGTGAACCAGTTAAACCGTGGTAGTTTATCTGATTTTATGTTGAACCGTGAAACACCATTTAATCCACCAATAACTATCCAAACAATGAATCAGACTATTATCTGAACTGATTTGGCGATTCTACTGCCCCAATCGTTAATCCGGTTTGTTTCTTATAACAAGGAGTTCCAGTGTAGGCAAAGCCCCAATCCGAAAACTGTCATTTCAATTTCACCTCCCACATTTGCCTTGAAGAGGCCAAGATATCAGTCCAAATGTTAACACGTCTCTCAGCAGCTCCAACTTTCCTATACATAACTTGGAAGTAGAGTACAAGAAACTTGTTAACTTGCGAACTATGACCACCACATTTGACAGAATAACAAAATAGAGCAGAGACCAGAGAGATCAAGTGATCAACTGGCCTTTTACCTAACTTTACAGAATCAAAAGATCACAAACTAATTCATCAATGAACTCTCCGAGAATCCCATCTGCTGTCTCCGCACCTTCTTCAAATGCTTCCACTCCGAAGTCGACCCACTTCCCATCCCCACAGCTCATGTCCCCATCCACAAGCTCATCCACCATCATATCTCCCATGGTCTTCCACCCTAATATCTCCTTGTGCAACTCCTTCGCCAGCCACCCTTTCCTCTCGAGCAACACCCCTCTGAGCTCGCCCCACGACCTTTGCCTGCACTTGTAGTCCAAGAACTCGCCAACGCAATCGAACATGACCTTCCTGTCGAGTTTCGAGGAGAGCTCATCATGGCTTCTACTCGAGTTACTCTCCTCGTGTTCGAAGAGGTTCGGGGATATGATCTTGGAGGGGCTACAGCTCAGTGCCAGGTCTTCCAGGTTCATCTCGGCGCTGTATAGTATGTGGCTAACGTAGTCGAGTTCCCAGTTGCTCGGATCGTTGTTATGCTTGGTTGTCGTTGCTGGAAGTATTAGTGAGGTGGTGTGTCGAGGGTGGCTAGCTATGGAGATTGATGAGGTGGCAGAATCTGTGAGCTCGGTTTCGAGTTCTTCATCGTCCTGAGTTCTGTTAGTTGAGGCTGAGTTTAATGTGGTTGGAGCTTGAGCCGAGGATGAACATAGTTGATCACTACCTGAAAATTTTACAACAGCTTTATCAAGTTCTGAAGGTAAAAGAGACTGAGGTTACCATATAACTCAGAGAAAGCCGAAAGGGCCATATCGTTGCCAACCCACCAAACCCATTGTGGCCTGACCCGTTTAACCCATTACTCATTCAGTTCAGTTTCAATTCTCAAACGCAGGACATTTTGTTTCCTCGAAACCAAATCCAACTGAATTGCCACTAGAGTAGATCGGATTTGATTCTAAACTGAACCATGTACAACCTATAAAGCTCCGGCTAAAAGGTGCAACCCTTACAACTTCCCATTGCGATCCTACCCGAGCTGCTAGTGACCTCTAAAACTAGGTTCTGAAACGCAGTTGCCACATGCTTGAAGATAGAAAAGAATAGAAGGCACATTCAAGGAAGTGTAACATTAGCTTTACCCTGAGAATCTGAGCAACTTTGGTCTGGAATCCATTCTGTATAACTAGGAGATTGAGATCCAAGTTCTTTCCCCCTTTCAATGTAACTGCTGGTACAGCTATGCTCTTCTGGTTCTTCTGATTGCTGATACTGTATCAAAAAGTTTTAGTTAAAGAGCGAAATGAATAATAGTCAGCAAAGTATATTCCAAATGACCAACATGTTAACGTTCCAACATTTGACAAAATGGAATCGTATGATTTATGGCTCTTCTAAGGTGATATTATGAAACAATCAGAAAACCCATATCTAGATTGCTTAGAATCTGACGAGGCCATAACATATACATAACACTCAGAAGTTACAGTGGCTTCATCACATTTCTGAAGATAGATAGACAAGGGGAAGAATGATGAAATGCAGAAAAACACAACAAGAAACAAACCTGGCGCTCATGGTGAGACTTCAATGGTAACTTCTCTTCAGATAACCACTCGCCATCTGCCTTGTGCAACTCCACTTTATCTAAACTAAGTTCAGAAACATTCTGCTCAGCTGCCGAGGACGTATCACTCATTACGTTAACTGATGGTGCTGACTTAAGTGACCCTGACTCCATTTTATCCGTCAACTCTCTCAACTTTCGTTCCAGAAGAACACCCAACTCATCACCACCAATCATACTCAAGCCAATATTGTTCCGTGTCGAACCATCCGAGGACAGAGATGACCTAGACATGTTGTTCCTCACCATTGGAGAAGTGAATGTGAATGAAACCACATCCAAACTGTTCTTCTCATTTCCCGTGTTCTTCGTGCATTCATCAGCTGCAATTTTACAGTTGATGGCTCTCGAATCCTTATTATATAACCGAGTAGCAGCAGCCCCACTGTTTGATGGAGGATCACCGTTTATTGTCTGTTTCTTCTGAGAGAAAGCCTTCCTCTTCTCCTTCTCGGAGTTCATAGATACCGTGCTGACAGTCCTATTTGAACCCGAGGAACCACTCGAGGCCCGAGCTGCAGCTATACCACCTTGCTTTGAGGTTGAAGTTCCCTTTCTAGATAGAGTATTATTTTGCTTCTGGTTGTTCTGTTTAAGCACATTGCTCCTATTTTCAATGGCCTTCTTGTGAACACTCCTTTGCATGCTTTGCTGGGATTTCATCTCATTTTTCTCCTTTGGCTTGATTCTACTGTTATTACTTCTGGTTGATGAACCATCTGGTCTTTGTTGGACTAATTTCCCTTTTGTCCTAGCGATTTCAGGAGAAGCCTTTGGAGGCTTTCTGAATGAAGATGAGCCTGCTAATGATGATCCACTGTTACTCTCGTCTCTACGCTGACCCTTCAAATTTCTCCCGAGTTCACTTGAAGTTCCAGGTTTAGACACCCTATGTGCAGCTTCCATTTTCTGCTTCAAATCCCTGATTCTCATGGGAACTGAAGGCGAACCAATTGATGGCACTCTAGTGGTATTATTCACTGCCCTAGGACTTGCCTCCATTATCTTGGCAGCTGCCTCAGCAATGGAAGCTACGTCCTTCGACGAGATGAATCCAGGACACTTAATTGGAGATAATAGCCTGTGATGGGTGACTGGGATTGATTTAGCTGATCTCGGCGGCAAAGTTTCGGTCTGAAATCTTTCAATTGGCTGCCTTGATTCCCTCCAATGATGCATTTCCATCCTGCCAGAGACACTGAGAAAGTCCATAGGACTGTACTGTGAATTTCTAACTATACGGGGTTGGAGTTGTTGATTCGAAGAGGGTTCGGTCAGAGCTGATGTTGTAGGCATTGAATCTAAACCCATGAGTCTTGCAACTACACTGGCAGGTCTAGTACCATAAGCGTCGTCACTAGTTACTGATGAAGCACAGCTTAAGTCACTACTACTCGCTTTGGTGCTCGCATTTCCTCTTCTATCTTCAAACTCTATCTGGCAATTACATCCGAAGTAGACCACTTAACAAAGCTTTCCAATAATTAAGCATTACCACTGACAGAAAGAAAGAGGCTTACAGTATGAAGCTGCAACTTCGGCCCTCGTTCGACGTTTTCTTTCCATGGTTTGATTCCTTCTAAACAGGTAAGAAAACCGAGATATGATTTCAGCTGCACTTTTAAGAAGAAAGTTGACCAGAAGAGAAGCAAGTCATGAAGCGAGGTTGAGAGGAAATATCTATATACCTGCTAGTTCTGAATTGTTTGGGAAGAGCTTCTTACGGGACTTCTTCCCATTCCAATCAAACATATGAAAGAACCCTCCTTTTGAGCGCTTTCTCTCCGCCTCCATTCTCTTGTGCTCAACCTAAATCTATTCTCCACAATAACCAGGGGAAAAAAATCAGATCCCAATCAAGCCCCAAACTTGAAGGGAAAAAAATCGTGAATTCGATACATGGAAGCAAGAAACTGCATCATCGTTGCTTAGCCAGCCATGAACAAAGAGCAAATCAGACAAATCCAAGCTGAAAATCACCAGAAAAGCAAACCCAATAGAGCCTCATGAAAACACGAAACAGGCAACCACAAGGAATCGAATCTCCAGTTACCCAGAAATGCATTGACCGGGTAGGAAGTTCAAAGCTTTCACTCATTACCATTTTTTCATGGAAGTCCGGAATCTTACCCGAAGTTTCCTAAAAAAAAAATCGTGGGCAGCCCCAGAGCTCAGCTCTCCTCTTTCTCGTACAAACAGCGAATCATCCGAGTCTGACCCAGCACGGTAAACCACTCAAAGACGCGAACTTTTTAACCGTCGCGAGGAAATTTCATTGTCCAGAGAAACCCTCCCCTATTCTCTCAGAAACACTAAAAAAGCTCCAGGACAGGGACGGAATGGCTACCAAGATATGAACTGTGAAGTAGTGTTACAAGAAGAACAGAGACGCGCAGGTAAGAGGACACGCAATGGGCCAAAAATTGGGTGACATGACCTGAAACTGAAATGCCAAAGGGAGAACTGATGGGTGGGGGAAAAAACTGCTATGAGAATGGCTCCAAAAAAAAAAATTAGGTAAAGCAATCAGTGAGGTTAAAATGTGTCAGCCGAACGGAGAGAGAAACAGAGAGACGAATCTGTTGAGAGTTAATGCAATCTGTTGGCGGAGAGAGAGACACCGTCAAGCTATCAATGGCGGAGGCAGAGACCAAAGAGAGCCAGCGAGGAGTCAAAGACCGAAGAGAGAACAGAAGAAGAAGAAGGCTCCTCTCGGCATTGCATCTCTCATATTTCCTGTGAAATCTCAAATCTGCAAAGGGCGAAAAAGAAACAGAGATAATAGTGGGGAAACAAAAAAAAATAAATAAAAAGTGAACTTTCAGTTGTGGGCCCCACTGTGCTACGTGTTCGACTGCGATTGGACTGAGGGTCTGGGGAAATGAAACTCTTGCTCATTAGAGATTAGACAGGGGCTGTCACGAATTATGAGGAGAGAAATTCAACTTTTTGAAGGTTTTATTATGGATTAACATAATGTATTAGTTAGAATTTTAATAGGATATATATAATTTATGAGGCAAAATTTTCAAAACTTCTTAAATTATTAGTCAAATATTTTAAAATGTAAAATATTAGTCAAATTTTAATTTTTCATGAGCAGTTTTTTAATAATACTGATTTGGAAAATACATTTGAATGTCAATATTTTAAAATTTTAACTAAGAAAATATTTATCAAATTACTAACTGTAACAAAAAAAATATAATATTTTGATGTATTACAAAATATTTGCTAATATTTATATTTTAAAAAAATAGGATAAGATTTTTGAAAATTTTGAAAGATTTGACTAATAAATTATATTCACATTTTTAATTATATACAAAATAATAGTAAAAATTAAAAAAAATCATGTAATAATTACATTGTTAACTTTCTATTTAGTCAAACGTCAATTTACTTTGATGTATTCAACAAAAAAATTACTTTAATGTGGCAAATGATGCTGCCATGAATGCTGGTGTGGATGTTGATTTTTTATATGTAGCCAAACTATAAGATTAAAAAAATACTAATAGATCAACATTTTTTATTTTGTGCAAAAATGATAACCTAATCTTTTGAAATACAATTAAATAGTCATTTTTCGTTAAAGTTAACACAGAGTGAACGAAATCATGTGTAAGTAAATGTGTCTCGATAGCTCAACACACAATTAATTAACATATTATTCAGCTAATTTTACCGTTAATTTTAACGAAAATAACTTAAATTTTAGGGTTATAGGTATAATTTGCCCCTCTACTATTACGTTTTATCAAACATGCCCTTCTACTATTTTTTACATCAAACATGCCCCTGTACTTTGTAAAAACGATCAAACATGCCCTTTTGTTTAAATTTTCATCCAAAAACCATTAACCAAGGTCGAACTTTGATTTGGGCGGCACAAATGTCTAAAATATCCCTAATAATTTCATTTTAGAATTTTTTTTGTTTTTTTGTATAGCTAAATAATTCAAATAATTTCACTTTTAGGAGACCCAAAGAAATAAAACGGGAGACAAAACTGACATTTTCGCTCCCATTTGTCGATGTCGGGCTGTCTAAATCTTGGTTCAGCCATGATTGACGATTTTTTCAATGGAAATTTTAACAGAAGGGCACCGATTTGATTATCAAATTATATTTTGAAATATTGTACTATTATTTTTTAATATATTGTTTTAATCCTTTTATCATCTTGCCAATGTAAGTTACAACTTGGAAACTAGAGTATTAGGGTGGGCTAGCTACTTTTACGGCTAGAATGTGTAAATAAATTACCAAAGATGAACCACCAAAAAGGAAAAGCTAGCCAAGATGGTATTAGTAATGGTTACAAAATGTTGTGATTGTGAAAGAAAGGGAAATAATAACTTATAAAAATGAACAATTCTAATGAGATGATTTTCCTTATTATAAAACTAACTCGTCTAGGTGACAAGGTTTGAGAGAAACCCTATATTGGAGTAATATGAGTTGGTTCATAACTCAATCAACTTTAATGTCAAGAACCAGTTGATTCAAATAACTCGAATTGTTTAGAGAAGTTCAATTGTGAAGACCTTTCGATCACAGAAGACTCTGATACCATGTCAAGAACCAGTTGATCCCAATAATTCGAGTTGCTTGGAGAGGTTCAATTGTCGATCATATATCATTTACCAACACTTAATGCATGATTAGATAAACAAAACGAATTTTAAATGTTGAAGTTCTTAATTATTGATGATTTAAAAAAAAACACTGACCACCTTGCATCAGCAACCATCGATCCGGCTAAACTGATGAACCAAAATTCATGTAGTTGTTCAACTAATCGGACCAAGCTAGATTTAACAACATGTGATATTCAAATACACCATCCATGTATAAAATGTATTCACAGAGACAGTATGAAAATGTGATATAGTAAAATAGCATCCCAAATGCACCGGTTCATAATGCATTTTTTCCCCACCATAAGATAGCTTGTTCATGACTGCATTATCTAAAATCATGGTAACAAAAGACCTACTTAATAAAGAAGAAGGAATGTTGATCCTTTGGTTTCTAGTTCAACCAAAATTCTTCATTCATTTTGCTATATAAGCAATCAAAACCGATGAATTTATGCCTTGGAATTCACTACTCAACTACATTAGACAATTGGATTGTGGTGTCTCTTGAAACAGCTTAAATTCCAACCTTCTCCGAGCAACTGTTTGTATGTCGATGTTGCTTGGACCACAGAAACATAAATTCATTACAGAAATGGATTGGGAAGGGGGGAGAAGAGAATAATAATAATAAATAAATAAATAAACCATAACCAAAATAGTACAGCAATAAATTCCAACACAGTGCTGTCTTTGAATTGGAAATTATGTTTGGAAGAAACAAATTAGCACTATCTGCTAATTTTGGTTCGGTCAGAATCTGTATCTTTCACCTGCCATGTCTGAAAAATCAAACCCCCCATAGCCCAAGCCAAATGTAAACAGACAACTGCAGACATTTGGGTCAGATCCTTATTCTATTGGGTGGTTCAGATTCATATTTTATTTGGTATTTTGGTCAAAGGGAAGAACGCCTAGGATGATATAATTTAGACCCTAGATCACTTGATTCCATCTTACTAACGCATCCTAACTGGCAAACGGGTGGGCGAGTATCTCAATATTCATATCCATTTCGCAGTAAACACGTGTAAGTGTGATTAATACCTATGCGAGTACGGGTAAGGACGGGTCGACCCATTCTCACAAATTATTTGAAGAAAGTAAACACAAAAATCTATTTTTATGATAAAATGGAGGGAAAACACTTCATGATTGAAAAATAGTGATAATAAAATGAGTAATTGACTAGTTGAGTCTAAATAAGTGAAAGATCAATTCTTGTAACCTATTTTAAGTTTCATTTTACAAAAAAATATAATTGAAATATGAAAAATACAAATATATATTGAAAAAAAATTGAGATAGGATTGGTAAAAAAACGAGGCGAATCTTAGCGTGACAGATCAAAAGTAGGGATGGCAATGGGGCGGGTTTGGGGCGGGTTTGCCAAAACCATCCCCATCCCCGCTTTCAAATATCCAAACCCATACCCGCCCCATACCCATGCGGGGGAAGATTTTGCAAACCCATCCCCATACCCGTGGGTTTCGGGTACCCATGGGTAATACCCGCCCCGTACATCCAACATTATAATACATAAAATTTTACATGTAAATTTTCAATTATAACATTATATGCACCTATTATATCATGAAGTCGAGAAAGTGACAATAATTCTTAATATGGTTCAAAGCATTTTATCCTAAATCCATAAAATAGAGTACTACAATGTAATCCAAATCATTATTTATCTGACTCTAATACATATACTAAGCAATAATGAACTAATATAATCTTGCTAACACGAGGGAAAAGTGAAAGAGTGAAGAGAGAGTTGAGGAAAATAAATTAGGTTTTGATTTGGGTGACCACTCAATTGCATTTCTACTAATTATTTTTTTATTTACCCTCACTATCATTGATAGATTACTATTTCATCCATGTATTTTTTATATGTGAACAAAAATTCTTGGTGGGGCGGGTATGGGTATGGGGCGGGGGAGGCTAAAACCATACCCGCCCCATACCCATCAAATATTTTGCGGGTTTTACCCATACCCGCCCCATACCCAGTCAAAGCGGGGATTCCCCGCGTTGACTGGGTCGGGGGCGGTCGGATACCCGTGGGCATGGGTTTGATTGCCATCCCTAATCAAAAGTGATAACTTTTGTCTCGCCCCACGCTACTACGACTAGGGTAACACCCATCTCTGCACGAACCAAATACGTGAGAGGCCATGTTCAAATTGCCACTTCTACTAACAGTTAGGTTAACCCAGCCCCTGAGCAATGCATAAAAAATGGTGCCAAAGAAGAAAAAAACTGTAGGTCAAAGACAAGATGGAACAACCATGTTTGTTTTGTTTTACAATTTACATTCAATTACCAAGGATCCTTGTGGGATCAGAGAATCTGGCGTTTCTCAACCACATTCACACCCAAAAAAAAAAAATGAAGTTAGGTGATATCCTTTGACAGGCCAGAATGGAAAGAAAGCGAGGGACAAAACAAAACAATATCCAATATGACAAAATCGAGTGCCTTTCTTTCTTCACTAAAGAATAGTTATTTTGGGATAATATGATATGCTTACTAGCTGGAATGCATATGGGGATTTTGATGGAGAAAGGTTGCATGTTTGCTTACTTCAAAGGATGCCGGTTACGTTTACACAAACACAAGATTATAAAATATATTGGGTCGCTGACATGTCAACTTCTCACACAAATGAAAAGGAAAGAAAGAAATGCAGGGGTTGTGTGCACTTTCTCAAATTTTTCTTGTGAAGTCTTGATCACTTGATAGATATTAGAGAACAATAAGCTTGCAGGCATAGAAGACTAGATTTGGCTTTACGCTTAAACAAGGAAGGGAATTTGAATCTTTACAGCCTGTTTGGATACAATTCCATAAGAAATGGAAATGGATTTCCATTCCCAATTCTAACTTTTATGGAATTCCATTTCCAATATTTGTGTTTGGCATAATTCCAACAACTATGGAAATGAATTGTATTCTTTAACAATCATTAAGGATTTAGTAGATTTTTTTATCTTGGGAAATGAAATATGGATGAGAGAGAAAGAGAGAAATAAGATAGTGGAATTATAAAATAATAATAAATATGAATGGGTCCCACTAATTCCATCTCCATAAACCCAAT